GCGTACGCATTTGTGCAGCTGAGGCACTTTCAGAATCAAGTAGCTTGCGTACCTATAGCCTTCAAATGGCCCTCTTTTGAGTGGTACAAAAAAAATACTAACACATACTTCTGTTCGTATTGTCCTTTTACTCATCGATTTCTTCGACTGAATGGGCAGTCGATTCAGCCTGTTGAATATAGAATGCCTTCCAGGTAATTCTTTTGTATTTAATTGGTATACAGTCATGTCTCATCGTTACAGATCCTGTTAATATGAATACCCCAATATATGGTCACCATTTTCGAGGACAAACTGGGAAAATGCATGCATCTTTGTCTCGTTAATATGGACAACAGACATTATGGACGATTTTTTTTTTTGGGGGGGGGGGGGGGTGAGACGCAGGTGTTCATATTAAGGAGACATCACTGTATCAGCATTCAAGTAGGTATTTCAAGTCATTAGTCGCTGAGATGGAGTCTCTCAGCTAGTCAAAGTCATTTATAACATTCATACAGTTGCTTGTAAAATAATGGCATTCTCGAGGTCATGTACCCAGCTCGATTAATTGCTCGGCACAAGCTTGTAATGGTGCGAAAAGCAGCAATCATCCCGGCTGAAGAGCCTGAGTGTCTACCTCGACATGCAGCTCAAGACTAGGCCAGGGCCCCACTCAGAAACGTCAATCCTTCGTTTCTCTTTAAGCTGGACTACTCTTGGCGCTACAAGTTATTGTAACAAAAACAGCGTCACACCTAACTATAAGCTCGAGGTAACGTGGCGTCCAACTACAAGGCTACATGGCTTGGTTTTTGCACTGATTTCGCAACGATGGATTGAAGCATCCGCCGAGGTAAGCTTTAAGCTGAGATATTGAAAAAAATTCTTTGGGTTTTCAGTGCTGGCCGCCAAGGTTAATTTGGCAATATAGTGCTGCATTGAAATATCATTGATTCATAAAAGCACAAGCCAATGAATTCATGCTTGCTATTCAACTTGGAATCCTTTACTTCCACTAGCAGCTGCCTCTGGGGCTTCATGCCATGAACCACCTTGTGGCTGCAAGCTCTGACCGGATATTGCACTGTGGTCTCTGCAGTTCTCGTCTGCAGAGGGGCAATCCGAGAGCACCACTAGAGTCCTCTGCCCGTGGGTGCTACGGCTAAATTTTTATTTCGTAATTATGCATCCTTTTTGTCTTTCCCTTTATGGTCCTCGGACGTTTCCGTTTCGTTGTCGCCGATTCGCGTCAAATTTTGTAAAAGGGATCCTGAACCGAAATTCGGATTTTGTAAAATAAGGTGGCAGAAGCGTTGAACCGGACGCTACGAACCCCAAAACATCATTCGTACATCGATATCTCAAACGGATGGCCGCACTTTTGGAAAAGAAGAGCGCGATCCAGCGAGTTTTTTCATGTCATTGTCCTCGGGGAGAATTTGAGAATCAGGGAAATCGGCCTCGCTTCTCTCCTCCTCGCTTCGGTTCATCAGCTCAACGGGACGTATCGAGGAAGAGAGGGAATGGGAACCGTGACGTCGCATGCCTCGTTGGCGGTATTCAATCGCGCACTTATTTTCCAAAATACGACGATCCGTTCGAGATATCGCTGTATGAGTGATGTTTTTGGGTTTTACAGCGTCCCGCCTATCTATAGAAGAACTTCTGGACGTTATGGTGTTTAAATCGATAGCAACTTTATGTACACTATTTACAGTCAGAAAAGGGACATCGAAGCTAGGCAGAAACGGTTGTAGCCGGCTCGTTCCCCCGCTGCCTCGTGCTCATCTGGTGGTGCTCGAGCCTTGCTTGTTCAGTCCGCTGTTTTGTCGTCTTCTAGACCGGACGTGGAAGTTTTTACACACTGCCCCCGAAATGAACTTTGTTCATTTTACACTTACTTGGTAGAAACTTCTAAAGGAAAAAGCAGTTGAATGGGTCTTTTTACAAATACTCTGCCGGGTAATCTGATGGTACCAGATCGTATTTTTCCGTCTCTTTAGATAGAAACGTCTTCAACCGTTCCCATCTGCCATCGCTGTCTCGGTAGTAAGTTGTCTTTGATTAGGACAAGGTCTCCGACTTTTATGTTGTGCGTCTTCGAGGTGATGGTTCTTTGCATATTTCTAGTTTCCAGTAAGTATTCTGTTGACCACCGTTTCCAGAATCTGTCCAGAACCTCTTCGCGGTGTTTCCACATTTGAAGAAGTTGATCTGCAGAAGTGTGGGTAACCTCTGTAAGTCCAAGTGTGGGGAAAGATGTCGGTCGTTTTCCCGTGAGGAAATTGGCTGGCGACAATGCCTCTGGTTCTCCTATGTCGTTGTAGACGTAGGTGAGGGGTCGTGAATTTATAACAGCCTCTACTTCTGTCAGTGCTGTGTGGAGTTCATCGGAGGTTAGACTCCTGCAGCCAAGGGCTTTTTTCAGCGACAGCTTGACCGAGCGGACGAGTCGTTCGTAAAACCCTCCCCACCATGGAGCCCGTTCGACGATGAATTTCCAGTGAATCTTGAAGGAACTCACTTGGTTCGTGACTTCTTCGTCTCTAATAATGTTCCACAGTTTATGCAGTTCCTTCTTACTTCTTTTGAATGTTAAGGCATTGTCCGTATAAACTATTTGTGGGATGCCTCTCCTTGATATAAATCGTCGAAAGGCGTGTAGGAAGGATGTTGCGGTCATGTCTTCTACGAGTTCCAGGTGTACCGCTCTGGTCACGGCGCAAGTGAACAAGGTTATATAAGCTTTCTGTGAGTTCGGCTTGCCTTTGACGAAGAGGGGGCCTGCGAAGTCAATCCCAGTCACCTCAAACGGATTGGCCTTTGTTACGCGATCGAGAGGTAACGGTGCGGTGACTTCAGAAGCTGGTCTTGAATTGTAACGTTGGCAGACAACGCATTCTTTGATCACCCGTCTTACCAACTGTCGACCAGAGATAATCCAGTAGCGTTCTCTGAGTTGTACAAGAGTATCATGCACTCCGGCGTGGAGGAGTCTTTGGTGTTCTTGAAGCACGATAAGCCGGCAGTATCGGTGTTCTTTTGGTAGAACAATTGGATGTCGCTCGCTATAGGATGCGTTGCTGTGTTGTAGTCGACCAGTAGCGCGTAGCAGGCCCTCGTGATCGACGAACAAAGGCATGTCCTTCAGTTTTGATTCCATAGGTAGTTTTTGAGCTCGCTGCGTGCACTTAATTTCTTGTTGGAATGATGCCCGTTGTACTCTTCGAATCCAATACAGCTCGGCTTCGTGAATTTCATCCGTAGTCAGCGGTCCTTTTCGGTCACTCTTGTGTCTCAGCTTGCGAGTGAACCTAAGGATCCAGGCTGTAGTTCGGTGAAGTCGCTGAATTGAACTGTAGTGGTTTTCATCTAGTATGGCCGGTTCAATTGGTGTTACAGTTTGCAAGACGTTCGCAGCTTTTTTCTCTTCCAACTCACAAGGGAATTCTTCCTTTGGTATCGTCCTCGGGGGCCACGTTGCTTCATTCATTGTAATCCAGGTGGGTCCTTTCCACCACAGCTGATTGGTAATTAGTTGCTCGGCAGATATTCCCCGTGTGATGAGATCCGCTGGATTGCCCTTTCCAGGACAGTGTCTCCAGTTTTGGTTTGTTATAGCTTGGATCTCACGCACTCGATTCTGAACAAACTGCTTCCATCTGTTGGCGTCTCCGAGAAGCCAGCACAACGCAATCATGGAATCCGTCCAAAAATGTGTATCCTTCAATTTCTCTTGAAAGTGAGTTCTGATGTGATCATAGATTCTCGCAGCCACGAGGCAAGCCAAAAGCTCTAGTCTTGCCAAGGTTACCTTTTTCAGTGGAGCCACTCGTGATTTGCAGAACATAAAGGTTGAACATGTTTCACCTGATATGTCCGTTGTGCACAGGTATGCTACAGCACCATACGCCACAGTGCTGGCATCCGCGAAAATGTGTAGTACCGTTCCTTGTGCTGTTTCATTCAATTGATTTCTGTAAAACCGTGGTACAGCCACTTGACCCAGAAGGGGAAGTCCTTCACACCATCGATTCCACTCTTCTAGTATATCGTCGGTCAACGGGCTGTCCCAATCGATGTTCATACGCCAGAGTCGTTGGAAACAAAGTTTTGCAAGTATAGTGAAGGGTACCAGCATCCCAAGCGGGTCGTAAATTCTTGCCGTTGTCTGTAATACGGCTCGCTTGGTGTCTGTTCGGTTTCGGGAAAAGTTGACGACGTTGTCCGACGTAAATGACAATACGTCGGTGCTTGGTGTCCACGTGAGTCCAAGTACTTTTACGATACCTGGCAACTCTCCTAGCGACACCTGTTGACCCTGGTCTTCGTTGATTTTCTTTAAAACTTCTGGAGAGTTGGACGACCATTTGTGCAGTTTCATTGAGGCGAGTTCAAAAATTTCATTCGTCTCGGAGTAGATCTGTAGAGCTTGTTCTTCGTTGTCCGCACCCGTTAATATGTCATCAACGTAGATCGATTTCAGAAGTTTCTCAGTGGTTTCAGGGTACTGTGGGTTCATGAGTCTCAGGTGATGTTGGACTGTTGCTGCTAGGAGAAAGGGACTCGACGTCGTGCCAAACGGGATTCTCGTCATTCTCCAGATTTCGATTTTTGGAAGTGGATGGTCTGCCTCTGGCTTCCTTTCAAACCACAGGAAACGCAAGGCATCTCTGTCCTTGCAGTTGATAGAAATCTGTAGCAATGCCTTCTCGATATCTGCGACGAGAGCAATTTTATGTGTCCTGAAGTTTAGAAGTAGCCCCACTAAGTCAGCATTCAGATTTGGGCCGCTCTCTAGGTTTTCATTTAAGGACTTTGATCGATGGCCATGCGACGAAGCATCAAAAACTACGCGGAGCTTGGTTGTTCGACTTTCCTTGACTACTGCTTGATGTGGCATGTAGTAGGTGACACCGCCACTGTCTTCGTTTTCTACTTTCTCCGCCATACTCTCTTTTCCATATTTTCTTATGGCTGAGTCATACGCAGACAAGATCTTTTCATTACGTCCGAGCCTTCTGGTGAGCTGCATCAGTCGTTTTTCAGCACCTTCCTTATTGTTCAGTAGGTGTACCAAAGGCTTCCAAGGAAGGGATACCTCGTAACGTTCTCCGTTGCTCGTTATCGTTTCTTCGAAGGACGTTAGTACGGAGTTGTTCGAACTATCGCTTTCGTCTTGCTTGACTCCTATAGCCTCCAGATCCCAGAATTTTCGTAGAATGTTTTCGGTGTTCCGCGTTACCGCTGACGTCCTGAGTGCGACCGTTTGGGAGTGTTGTAACACTGTGGAGCTTAGGCTCATGGGACCGTGCACAGTCCATCCGAGCGACGTCTCGATGGCCTTGATATTGCCGTTGAGTTTCGTGACTTGTCCAGTTACAAAATCCCAATAATGTTCAGCGCCGATCAAAATGTCAATATGGTTGGAATTTTCGTCGTTAGCGATAACCGCGATCGCATAATTCAGCTGACGTAGCTCCTGTATGACGTTGTTATCCGGTTGTGGCAGTCGTTGATCGCAAATTATGCTGGTTTCAAGAGCCTCAAGGTGGTAAGTATGTCCATCGTGTTTGCTTTGCAGAGTAATGAAGACCCTTCGAAAGTTCTTCTCCTGGTTATGTCCACCGAAATACCCTACTGCAAGTCGTTCGCTTCCCACAACCTTGCAGCCCAGTCTCCGAGATAAGTTTTCGGTTATAAAGGATCTCTGGCTACCGCCGTCAAACAATACTCTAGCCATCGCTTTGTTTTTGGTTCCAGAGGCCCACGCTTCGGCCGTTTGTAACAGCACTACCCTTTGGTCCGAAGTCTCAGTCGTTGATTTTAGCTGTAACGGAGCTGTGCCAGCGACATTCTTTTGTCCGCCGTTCTTAAATTTGGGGTCGCACATCGTGGAAGCGTGTCGGCCTCGGCAGTGCCTACATGTGATTCTTCTTCGGCAGTTCTTAGACATGTGGTTCACAAGGGTGCAGCGGAAACATCTGCCGTGTTTCTGTAGCATCGTCTTCTTTTGTTCCAGTGAAACTGTCGAGGTGCACTCTTCCGTCTTGTGTTCTTTAGATTTGCAAATGAAGCACGGTGTTCTGAGATCCGTTTGTTGAAGTAGTGCAGACGATGATGGTTTAAAATTGTTCTGCTTATCAGGATACCTTTTACCTCCTGCCAGTGCATTCGTCTTTTTTGTCAGAGGGTGCTCCAATCTCGCAGGAGTATACGTTTGTTCTCGACTTTCGATTTCTACCTTCAAGGCTTGGAGTAACGATGTTAACGCTGCAGGCTGTTCTCTAGGAACTCGCGCTCGCGCTCCTTCCTCATTTTGTTCTTGGGCGTTCCCTTCCTGTCGAATCGCTTCTCTGTTATAGTGAAGCATTATCTCTGAAGGAAGGAGTCTCACGAGGAGATGATGTAGCATCGAAGAGTAAGATTCTTCACTCACCCCGAGAGACTTGAGTCCACGTACATGAGCCTGCACATTATCGTAAAGACCTCGAAGTCCACGTACGTCTTGTGCAGAAGGTACCGGGTTAAGGTCAAGTAGCTTTTCCATATGATCTTGTATGAGCCGTTTCTCGTTGCCGAATCGGCTAATAAGGATGTCTACTGCATCCTTGTAGCAGATGGACGTTGATGGGAGTCCGACGATGGCTGCAGCGGCTTCTCCCGTTAACGAAGTTCTCAAGTAATTGAACTTGTCGCAAGCTGTTAGTGCCTCGTTGTGATGAACCGCTTGCTGAAATTGCTCCCAAAACGGTTGCCATTGTCGTTGTTGGCCGTTAAACTTGAGAAGCTCCAGTTTGGGAAGCTTTACCTTTAAGGTACTCGTCGGTTCTCCAATTCTTGCACTGTTTTCAGGGTTTGTTGTTTCGGTTGGGGTTCGTTGTTGTAGAGTCCGGATTGAGTAGTCCAACTGAGCCAGGTAGGTGACGGCGCGGTCGTTGTACTCGAATGCCCGGGTGTATTCTTGTTCCGCGTCGTCCCCCAGGAAAGGCTCGATGGCGACATCTGTTTCGGTCATTTGGGTATGCAGACTACCCAATCGTTGCCTGAGGATTTCGATGTCCCGTTCGATGATCGGATCACGTTGAAGAGCAGCGTCGATGTCTGGTATCAGCCTTGTCAGTTGGCTTCGTAGGGCCTTCCGTTTCAGTTTCAGACGATCCATGAGTAGTCGTCAGCCGTGGCTTGAATGGAACGTATCAGTAGTCCTGCGTTAGTTGCTGAAGATTCGGTAGTTCCCTCGTCCAGGTTCCTCTCGTTGCGTCTCGTTCCCGGGTTTCGGCACCATATAGAAGAACTTCTGGACGTTATGGTGTTTAAATCGATAGCAACTTTATGTACACTATTTACAGTCAGAAAAGGGACATCGAAGCTAGGCAGAAACGGTTGTAGCCGGCTCGTTCCCCCGCTGCCTCGTGCTCATCTGGTGGTGCTCGAGCCTTGCTTGTTCAGTCCGCTGTTTTGTCGTCTTCTAGACCGGACGTGGAAGTTTTTACACTATCCGTCCAGCTTTGTTTTATGGGCTCGAAATTTCGGTTCGGTATCCCTTTAAGCACGCGAATAGACGGGGCAAAGTTTTGTCGAGGTAAGTTTTCTCTGCCAAAGTTACATAATTCTTATGAAGGTCATTGCTCGTGTTTAAAAAAAAAAATATATTTGAAAGTCTCCACATCAATAGCGAGCCATTGGCAAGCGCAAGCTCACTACTTCAACTTGTATTCAACTGATTGCAAGCAGTTTGGTAACGGGAAATGAATGCCGTGAAACCTCCTTTTCGCACATGTGTTCAGCAGCACGAAAAATATATATAGGATATACCCATAGTTTCTACTGCGTGCTCATTCTGTAGGTCTGCCTGCCATTCATGTCGTGCCACTGGAGAGTGCAGGCAAATTTGGTTGTTGGTTTTGGAATTACCGTTTACAAGCCTCTTTGTTAATAATCCTAAAATTTCTTTTGAGTTAAAGAGTGACATCACACTGCATAATTGGTATTTTATAATAGAAAATTTTCATACTTTTAGCAAATATAATGTCCACATGCTAATAAGCTTATTTCATATTTTAAGGTAACTATTTTCTTATCTGCAAAGGTTGGAGCTTTCTCCGTCATTGTCTCGGTGTATATTTTTTTTTGTCGTTCTCATCATATTTTGGTGTATGACAACATATTTTTTATCTTCTAATACGTTTTCGCAATTCTCAAAGTGTAGATCCTTTTACTCCACGTATTTTAACTTCTTTGGCCTTCTTTGATATTACTGTAACATAACTTTATATGAATTACATTTTGGTATAAAAAGTGCCACAAATTCCATGAGGATATTTCCATTCAACTCATCTTTAAACATACTAATTACTTTTTATTGTACTCTAAATTGTTTTTCATGTCTTGGATAATCAGAGGTATCAAAATACTTCATTTCTTTCATATCTTTGTAGATGTCTTCAGCCTTAACGTCATTTATTAAACTATCTGCGTCATTATAGAGAATTTTTATCCTCTCACCGTATCTCCTTTTATAACATTATAGAGAAAGTCTTACATTAAGTTATTTCCCAAACTTCTTTGTCGTCATTCAAAATATCTTCCTTCGTGGTTTGATAAAGGTACATCGTTCGCATGTATATACCTTTCCCTGCCAGGGGACTAATCTGCTTAGATGCTTTCTCTAACAATATTGTTATTTATACAATAGGATGCTTACTATACATTTATATAAAAGTTATCTTCCCATTATAGAGCACACCTATGGTGCCATCGAAGGCAAACACATTAATTTTTATTTTATTTCGTCTTTCAAGCTTTCACAAATCTTTAACTAAGACCGGAGATTTAATACCGTCAAAATTTATTTCATTCTGATAATCTCGATATTTAAAACCGATATCAACAAGACCGTTTGCTACGTGTAATGCTGAAAGTACAACCTATTAGAATATTTTTTACCTTATTTTCAACATCAATCGCAGTCTCCTTAGCCTTTATTTCACCTGGTAGAAGGATGTCTGTTGCCCCTTTCAAGAGTTGATATTTAGTGACAGCCATATTCATTTCAATTATTTTTTCGAAAGCTCCAACCGGATCATCATTAGTAAAATAGCGCAAAACAACAAGGAAGAAAGGGCGAGATAGACAGGAAAGGCGCTAACTGGCAACTGACATTTAATACATATAAAAGGTCTCCGGAGCCGAAACCAAGAAAGCAAAGGACAAAACCTCACTGTTTTGGGGGACACTTCCCTGCCAGCAGATATATGCAGAATTCTAGAAAAAGGACCAAAATTCTTCACTTCACCAAAAAGACAGGGTATACAGCTATTGTCCAACGTATATGACTTAGCGGAAGAGGCACATGAAGATGTGCCTTTTCCGCAAAATGGTAAATAAACATTGAATTGAATTGAATTGAATTGAATGTCAGACCACGTTGTATTGAAGACTGCGTGGATGTACTATTAAGATCTGGGAATGGTTGTGGAAGGAGGTTGAACATGTCTCGTGTAGTAAATTACTTCACTGAGAAAGATTTAAACCTGTTAGAGTCAGACAAAGAAGGAGGATTTGTTGTCATCCCCAGGTCAATTTACCAAGAAAAGGCTATCTCGGTCATAGACAAAAACTTCAACCAAACAAGCGTCAAGACCAAAAAGATGAAAGCCATGGCGCTACAATTATGCACTAAGCTAGAATTGACATCAATGAAGATAATTTCGACTGCCACAAAGGACCACTTAGACATGTTTTTTACTGCCAAAACACACAAAAAAGAGTGTCCGTTCCGAGTGGTTGTGACTGAAAAAGGATCGTGGAAGGGGGTGTTGTCTCGCTATCTAATGAAACAACTGTCTAACCTCGAACTAGATGATCCATTCCTGATCCCTAACTCTGAAGTGGGTATACATCACCGTCAACTGAATGATGCAACGGTACGATACGGGTTTTCACTTGATGTGGAGGATCTTTTTTACTCTATCCCACACAACAAGCTGTTTACAGCTGTAAACGAATGTATTCAGGCCAACGGGATTACGAAGTTTCAAAATGAAAGTGGAATACTGGTAAAATCTTTCCTAGAACTTTTACGGTTCTACCTAACCGCCACCGTGGTAACGTACGAAGGTACGTCTTACCTACAAAGGAAAGGCATATGTATCGGGTCCTGTGTGGCACCGGTCCTCTGCGACATCTTCTTTTCAAAATGTGATCGGGCCATCGATAATGCACTCACCAAAGGGCAAGTCTCACGCATTTTTAGATACGTGGATGATTATCTAGTGCTTCTTTCAATTAGACCCATGGAAAATGAAGCTCAAATATTCCACACCATCAAATTCACTTTCTGGAGCGAAGGGCAAGGGCTCAATTTCACCCATGAGACTCCAACGAATTTAAGCCTTCAATGTTTAGATCTTCATCTGATGTTCAAAGACAGGCACACTTGCTGGAAATACTCGCCAAGAACCAAAAAAGGCCTGCTTCAGTACGGCTCACATCACTCCAAAATCATCAAGAGAGGAATTGTCAAAAGCACAATGAGTGCAGCCTTAAAAAAGTCGTGCACACATTCCGCGGCTGAGAGTTTTCAAGCTCAAGTGCAGCGCCTCAAGACATCTGGGTTCCCGAGTTCGATTTTGTTTGAAGTCGCCGAATCATTACTCACCAACAGTGGACAACGAGTGCGCACACGAGAGAAGAACCAACGACCAGCAGTGCTGTCAAACCATACATTCATCAGATTACACACAACTTAAAAAAGATTGCTTCGAAATATCAAGTCCAAGTGGCACTCTCTGCGCCAGATAAACTTAGGCGGTTGAGTCCGAGAATTAACCATCTCCAACCACAGCAAGCTGAGTGCAAAGTAAGACATCAGCAACAATACGTCGACTGCCAACGAGGAGTGGTGTATGAAATACCTTTCACCTGCGGCAAAATATATGTGGGACAAACAGGCCAAAGCATCAATGAACGCTTGCGAGAACATGGCTTAGCCTTGAGATCGTCACCAGCCGGCCATCTTGCAATACATGCAAGGGACTGTATGTGCTCAGCAGTGCTTAGCCAAACCAAAATTCTAAGACGTTTTAGGTCCAAAAGAACACGAGAGTTGTATGAAGCTCAAACAATTGTGTCTCGCGGGGCGGTGTGCGTCAGCGCCCCATCGATCGCCTTATCTCCTAAGGAACTTTACTACCTTAATCATATGACTTGACTACAAGTATTCAGCCTGCAACCTCAGGTTCCTTTTTTGTCTCAAACTTCACCTTTTTATCATCTACGATTACCGATCGTGCACCTCTGCAATTTTCTCCTTTTGTTTCAAAATTATTGCTTCCTTGTTTCTTCCTCTCTTATTTCTTACGGTTTTTTTCACTCACAGATGTCATCAGCAACTCACCTTTTTCATACATTTTATTTTAAATTTTTACGTACAACTTTGAGGGTGTACGTTTCTTTCTTTTAAGCAACAGCATCAGTAACTTCTTGCTTCTTTCTTCTCCTCCTTTATAGACTGTATTAAATGTCAGTTGTCAGTTAGCGCCCTTCCTGTCCATCTCGGCCTTTCTTCCTTGTTTTGCGCTATTTTACTAATGATGAACGACCAACTAGCCCGCCAGCTCACCTTATTCCAACCGGATCTTTTTAATTGAAGCTCTTGAAATTTGATAAGAATTTCATTATGAATCTCTTTTCTCATTCTAATCTATCTATGATATCAATCTTCGGAAGGACTATACCATAATCAATAACCTGGTCTTCTCTTTCTATTTAATCATCTAGACAAATGTTTAGACGCATTTTCGTCTCAAGTGTTCCACTTCGAGTATATTTCGCATGGAATTGTCTTTAATGAACTCGAGGAATTAAAAAAAGGTTAAGAATTCATCGAGGTTCTCGTGGTAGTAGTCATACATATCGTCTTCAGAGGGGCCTCTGCTGCCACTTCAAAATTTCAATGTCTTTTCAAATTCCGTTCAAGAAGGTCTTTTTAGGATGGATTAATCCAGTGACCGCAAGTGTACTTTATATATCTTCTTTTGGTATTCGCGGTTGTGGTTTATCGAACAAGTCATCGCTAAATACGAAATAAATGGCTTGACATTTTTCGTAGTCATCATTTCTATTTCATTTAATCGACTATTTGTTGCCTTTTTTCTTCTT